ACCACATACGAAAGTGACCCAGCTCTGATTTGAAAATATCGGATTTGTGCCGTTCACACTGTCGTACCATGATCGGATATGGGTCGCATAGGGTCAAAGAAATCGGATTTGATGTGCTTTCACCTGCAGTGTGAACGTAGCCGAAGGCATCTCATTATTATATTACCTTAGAGCCGGGACCACTCTAAATAAATATACATAGATACATGTGCTGATTGTAATATTTATGGAAAGTCACAATGATGATGGTCTTCTTCAATATCTCTGTTAGGGAGCTAGCAGAACTACACAAGGTAAATGCCAGCAGAGCCAGTGAGGCTGAAGAGGTGGCTCTGAGCAGGGAGACGCAGGCCAGAGAACAGCTGAGTCTGGCTCTGGAGAAGGCTCAGGAGGAGGCCAAGATACAACAGGAAGCCCTAGCAAACCAGGTAACACTGGGCCACACACTAAATATATAAAACACATGTGATAAACATCAAATATAAGATACTGGTGCAATTAAAAAAAAATAGTTAACTCAACATTATATTGTTGTCTAATGCTGTGTACAGGTGGCTGACCTGAGGCTGGCACTGCAGAGAGCAGAGCAACAGCAGGCCAGGAAAGAAGATTATTTGAGAGAGGAGATCAGTGAACTTCAACAGGTAACATACTATTTCCAACTAAATTATCTCAATAGACGAAAAATACATTTTGATAGAAGAAAATAATTTTGCAACAATTTCGTGGTACATGTACAATGACAGTAAAGAGCTCATCTTTTTTTAAATATAGCAACAGGATTCTTTTTTTAATGCATGCCATCATTTCTTGTCTTCTGTCAGAGACTTCAGGATGCAGAAACTAGGAACCAGGAGCTCAGCCAGAGCGTTACCTCTGCCACGCGACCTTTACTGCGACAAATTGAAAACCTACAGGCCTCACTGGGTGGTCAAACGGCCTCGTGGGAAAAACTTGAGAAGAATATCTCTGACAGGCTTGGTGAGACTTAGGGATTTAAGCTTTTACACCATGTCTGTGTAAAACAAACAGCAAATTACAATATCGTAGAAAGTGGGGAATAAAAGCTTGATTCGTTTTTGCACCCCCTCTAAACAGCGGATGCCCAGGCGCAGCTAGCCATTGCTGTGGAGAAAGAGCGATCAGCAACAGAAGAACTGTTGTCCATTAAGTCCCAGTTAGCCTCTCTGGAATCCCAGAATTCCTTGCTTCGGCAGGAGAAAGCCAGGCTTCTGGCACAGCTGGATGCTGAGAAAAACAAGAGGGAGAAATTGGAAGATGAGAGCAGCAGGTAATAAATTTAAAAAAACCAACCAAACAAACTGGAGTCTACAGGGTTAAGTGCTCATGTAGATCATCCCCATCATCATGTATACCGCATTTACTGTATGTGGCTTATATGTGGAGTTAAAGTAAACATATGTGTGGTTAGTTTGTTTGATAATTATCAATTTTTGCCATTTGGTTGTTGGTGGCTTTTCTTTGCTTTGCACAAAAAAAAGTGTTAGTGTGACTGTCAAAAATGGGATTGTTCTCCACGTTGTCAGAGAGGCTTTGTGTAGAACTTAGAGCCTGACTTTGAATTTCATTTGTCTTTTTTCGCTGTGGTTTTTCTTATTGGTTCCAAAAACCTGCTTTGAAACATCAGTTAACAACACAAAGAGTTTGAGCAGCACAATGAATGCTGCATTTATTGCATTAGTTGCTCTGAATGAAATGAAATCTCTTTGGTTGTGGTTTTATGTTGTGCCAATAGAAAAATATTCTGTGTCAAGATTAATGGTGAAAAACATCTTACAGTCTCTGCTAGGCTTTGTTTGTAGATTGCAGTTTGGTTTTGTTCTTTCATATGTATGTGAAAAGAAATGAGTAGCTCGGGTTTTTCTCAGTGAGACAGGAAAACTGAGTCACAGTAGTCTCGCTTGTAATGCTAATCCTTCCTGGAGTGCTTTTGTTTTTCAACAAAGCCATTTGTGACTGTGAAGCTGAGGCCCCTCAACACCCACTCATGTGTCAGCACGTGGTTTCAGTGGCAGACTGTTTTCTTTGATGAGGAAAGCAGAGGGTGTGGTGGGGCCAGTGGCGCAATGGATAACGCGTCTGACTACGGATCAGAAGATTCTAGGTTCGACTCCTGGCTGGCTCGTCACTGTTTTTGGTCTTTTAACAAAAAACAAGTTGTTGGAAATATAAATACATTAGATATAAACCTTTTTTTTCTCCCTGAGGAACCATGTAGAAAAGTAGAAAAGTAATCCTTTATATCACACAGTTAGGCTTTCATTTGTAGAATTTCACAGATGTATTGCACTGTTTTTATTGCTGTTTAATTTTTTTTTGGTGACTTCTTGCTCATTTTATCAATGTAGGGATCGTGTTGAATTGGAAAACCTGCAAGGAGAACACAATCGAACGTTAGAGGAAACAAAGAAAGAAAAGGTACCAAAAAAGCTATTTTCTACTTATGATGTTGTCCTGTATGAAAATGATTTCTCATGGGCATCTTTTTTTTTGCTCCTTCTACCAGTTACTGCTGACTAATCAGTTAGAGATGGAGAAGATGAAGGTAGAGCAAGAAAAGAAGAAATGCTATTTGGCACAGGAAGCACTCAAGGAAAAGGTTTGAGAGAATCTCTGATGTGTTGTTTTTTTTTCCTTTTCTTTTCTGTTTTGACTTTTCTTCATTCAGTCATGACTTCATTATTTCAATTGTGTCCTATCAGGAGCGAAAGGCCACGACACAATCAGTTGGAGAGGCCCTAGCATCATCTACACCCTCCTTATCTCGCTCCAGCTCGATGAGTGGGGCAGACAATGGGCTGCACACTTCTGTTCTTTCACAGGTGCATTCTACTTTTCTCATAGAGGTAGTTAGGAATACGATAAAAAAGGTTAAGCTCTGTAAACTGAAGATGAGTTTTTAAATGCTGTGATGTCCTTTTGTACATTATTTTTCTTCTTCTTCTTAATCCATCTGCAGGATGACTCTTTAGACCATTCGCTGGGCACTATGACTATGTCCATGTCGATGAGTGGGACCAACCTGTATGAGGCGGCCAGACTGTCTGGAGGCTCCAGCATCATAGAAAACCTCCAGTCTCAACTCAAACTGAGAGAAGGAGAGATAGCACAGCTGCAGGTAATGTCGAATTAAAATTTTAGTGATTAGGCTGTTGCTTCTGCTATCAGCAAATGCACACAGTTATTTGTACTGCACCTCACCTTTTTGTCCTTTCCTTTTTCTCCCCTTTTTAGCTTGAGATCGCTAATCTGGAGAGGAGACGATCTGTGATGGCACAGGAGCTGGTTCGACTCACAAATCAAAACGATGAGATGGAGGAGAAGGTGACAGAGATCCCCAAGTTGAAAGTTCAGCTGAAGGTACAAGGCTGTACAGCGCAGGGAATTAATGTTATACATTTTCCATGCTGCCAGATGTCAAAACTTGAATTGAATCATATTTCCTCTTGAGAGGGCTTATTTGCAGAGTGTCTTCTGATTATTGTGGCTGTGCATTTCAGGATCTGGAGCAGAGGCATAACACCATTCTGCAGATGTATGGAGAAAAGGCTGAAGAAGCAGAGGAGCTGAGACTGGACCTTGAAGATGTAAAGAATATGTACAAAACCCAAATCGATGAATTGCTGAAGAACCAGAAATAAACCAGTTTCCTTTACGTGTTATTTTGGGGCACGAATCAGCTGACAATATCAACAATAAATGCATTCACAAGAAACAATGAGGTAGAACCTTTAAGTTGAATCACTGTGTAAGAAGGAAATTCATTCATATTTGTTATTTTGTTTTAATTGATTATCATATGCTTTATTTAAGTGTCAATATTGGAATTGTGCAAAGCATACAATGAATACAGAATCAGTATGTGAAGAATTGTCGACGTTGACTTGACTCGTCCATCTGGAATCTTTGGGAGTTTGCTTTCAAAATTTCTTGTGATTGAACCTTTAACATAGTATTGTATAGTTTAAATTGTATGAGCTGGTGAAGGTTTTTTCACTATATGAATTCATCCAACATTTCTTCATAATCAGAAAGGTTTAAGATATATATAAAATGTATTGTACAGAGAAATTTATGTATTGTTCTTAACACCTTACAGATCACAAAGTGTGGTGTAGGCCTGAGTAGTCTTTGAGTGAAATCCTGAAGATTGGATTTCAAACTTTATACATATGTAAATTAATATACATTTATTAGGTTAGTAAAAAGTAAGTTGGTTCTTTATTGTTAAATCACACAGAAGATCGAATTTTCATTGCATTCAAATAAAACACTACATCTCAGTGCAACACAACAATAAATCTGTTCTGAACAATTCTATGTGTCTCTTTCACTTTTTGGCAAGACTAAAACTTAAAAAAATGACTGATACAAATTACTAATGCCATATTGTAACACCTAGAATGTGAGATGATATTCTGAAACTGAGTGGTCTTAGTTACATTTGAATAATATTCTGTAAGAGACAAAGCACATTAACAAGTTTGCACTGAATATTTGTGTTTTTATTATTAAACTGAATGATGTATTTTGTAATAACGTGGAGTGTGGAGAGCGTTATAGTGCCGCTTACTATCAGAAAACTGCGGTGGACAGCGCCACCCTATGGCCGAATGTTCGTATTACATGCCGGTGTAAGGTTTCCGGTGTTATGGCGACCGCCGGTCACTGCATCGCTTCAATCTGGGGAAAGCAGACTGCATTCAGGTAAACTGTCTCTCAAATAAACTTATAGCAATCTTTTATAGGCAACCACTGATAAGGGTCTCGTTTCTTTTAAAGGTTTTGTTTCTCGGAAATGTAAAAACATTTTTTCTTGCTCCTTTTCTTGTACTGCCTCTTTAGTCTATCTTAAAATTAACGTTAAGGGGGCTCCTTGTCTTTGTCAAGAACTTAAAGGCTAGATGTTAGCCTCTGCATAGTATACTTCAGTTACCGGTCAGCCTCAGTTCGTATTTTCCTTTTTTTTTATCCACAGACAAAGAAACGTTTAAGTAATGCGTTATAATCACAACAGCTCCTCAATCTCATCTCACGTGCCTGTTAGGTCACTATTGACGGTCGCGACGTAGAGGTAAAGTTTAGTTAACTTGCTAATTGACCGGAAGCTAGCTAAAACTTAAGAATTAATTAAACGCTCTAAAAACGAAGTTTTCATGCGCTCGGAGAGCTCCAGCACGTCAGAAACTCGAGGAAATGAAGCCAGATTTCTCAAGGGATTTTTTAAAACTACTCCTTTTAAAGATTTAAAATATACCTAACCATAATCGTAAAAAATAGATACAATTCGTCGGTGACGTGTTTTAGGCTTACTTGTGTTCCACAGGTATTACTGAGTTTGATCAATATATGCTTAGCCGGTGCTTTGATGTAGCGCTCTTAATTTCATGTCTCCAGTTACATCAGTACCACCGCCTTAACGTCACACACATTTAAGCTTAACCTAACTGTGTCAACGTTACCACCAGGAGAATATGCAATTAATGACCGATAACGTTAACCTTCACCACCTATTGTTACCAAATGTGCAGCATAAGGCAGTTTCCTCGTTTCCTTCCCTTCATTTGAATGTGAAACTGTGTGGGAGCCATTTGTTATACAGCACAATGTGGTATCTGCTTTAAGAAAGGTCACACTGTACTATTCAATCATCAGTCAATGGTATTGGGACGAAGGCTCCAGGCTGTGCAAGAACATGCATACTTTTAACAAAATAGCATTGATCATGCAAATTTGGCTGTTGTGTAAATACCAGGTACTGCACTGGCTACCTGCATATTAGGTCACATTATTACCAGTGAATATTTCTCATTTGGCCCTGCAGCCTCAGTTGTGCTTACTAACGGAGAAAGGTCACTAACACTAACAAAAACAAAAAAACAAAAAACGTTTCCTTTTGTGAAGCTTAGATCTGCCCAGAGCTACACTCCCATGCACTTGCTTGTACCCACATGCTTGTATACTCCAGTGTTAAGTTTTACCCATTGCAAGTCTGAGTCTGTTTCTCTGCCTCTTGCCTTTTCACAGTGTGCGGTGAAGGGAAGCATCTATTTCGCATGTCTGTGTAATTCTGACTATGCTGCTCCTGGTAGCACTGAGCATAGTTTTTTCACCCTTTGTGGTAATCACTGAGACGCCTGAAAACCCACACCACAAACCACCAACACCAACTCTCAACTACAGCACGATCTCCCTGTCACCAGAGCACGTACCCTATTTCCTGAACAACAACAAGAGGGTCGCCAAGCGATGCCGCCTGGACCCGCTCTGCCCTTTTAAAGTAAGATATGAACTTGGTTGGAGTTAATGTTTGTTCTTTACTTTACTTTCAGAATACGGTAAAAATTATAACAGGTAACCTTGTTAACTTATGACTCACATGAAAATGGTTAATTAATTATTTTGCCTGTGAGTATAGGCATCATGCGAGCTATTTCCTTGTGATCCACACAGTAGTAATTTTGAAATACTGGATTTCTGTGCATTGGTTTAATGGATATTGTTTTCCTGAACTCAGAAAGAAGAAACTTAACAGTTTATTTTGCTTTGTCTGTGCTTCTTTACAAGAGAGAGACTCCTCTAAATAGAAGCAGCTGAATTAAAAGCTTGTTAAAATCTTATTTTGGTGAAACTGCAAACTTTCCACGTGGTTTTTGTAAGACTTAAGTGAATAAAGTTAATTCTGTTAATTCAAAATAACTACACAACTAAGTGCCTGGGGCCATTGCTTCTAGACAGACTTTGCATCAGCTTAGTTAGGTTAGTTAGGTAAATGGATTAGCAGATAATCCATCACCACTGCTGTGTCTTTCACATTGCATATTACATTCTGTTTCTAATGGATTTTCTAAAAGAAAGATAAGATTTAATGTAACTTTTCTTTATTTCTTTCTCTCTCACACCCTCTCTCCTACATACACACACAACACTGCTTATATTAATTTGTATTTTGACAACAGGATGCACTCCAGGATCTGTCTTTTTGTTGGGGTTATGAGAAGAACTGTGATCCAGAGAAACGCTTCAGCTATCCTATGTGCACCAAAGCTGACTCTGGATGGTACTGTCCCTCACATCATATTCAGTGAAATTACCAAAGTTATTGTCGTGATTTTTAAATTAAGAAATTTTGGATTTACTGAGTTGCAGTGTATGTAATTTTCCACAGTATAAGTGGTTTCATGCAAAGTGTGCGTCATCGATGGTGTAATGGTTGTGCTTTTGCTGATTTGTCTGAATCTGTCAGGGCCCGTTCACTGGATGCCGCCCAGGAACTTTTCTGGAAGCAGGCTGATTTCGGCTACGTCAAAGAGCGCCTCTCTGAGCTCAAAACACTCTGCAAGGCTACCCGGCCAGTAAGTCTGCTCATTTCCTTAGTTCCCACACGCCTTTGAGTCAACAGGAAGAAACAACAGGTAGAAATAGACGCAGTATTTAACAGGAGTCCACAGACAATGAGCCTAAAATAATTTCAAGTTCAAAAGCAGTGGTATAGAGAGAACCTAGTAAAGAGGCCACTCTCATGGCCTTTAAGGTCCACATTTTGCTGGTCACCTGAATACTAAATATTTATGAATTTGCATTTCAAGGGGGACTCCTCATTAAAGTGTTGTAGTCACATTAGATTCTGCAAGGCTACAAATCTTTACCTGGACTTACGAAAGCCACGCAGAAGTCATGAGAGGTCAGTGCAATTTGAAAATACAGTTTTTATTTTTATTTTTTTAAACATCAATGAGTATGCTTTGAAAGTCAACTGTGTTTATGCTGCAGGTACAAAGAGGACTTCATTCAGGCAGGAGAGATTGGTGGACACTGCAAACTCAACAAGGAAGCACTTGTTGGAGAGGGTGACCACAAAAGCCCCTTGCAGTCTTGGTGAGGCAGGACAGATACATTCACATGAATCCTACACTTAGCAATCAAACTACAATGAATGGCTTCTGTTGAAATCTTGAGCTTGTGTTAATAATCTTCCGTAGCCACTGTTAACAAAAGAAAGCTGGATGTTTGTCCCACTGATTTCCTTGATTTACAAATATAAAACACAATGTCAAGTACTGAAACACATCCACAAATAGGGATGGGTATCGTTTAGGTTTTATCCGATACCGGTGCCAAATCGGTACTTTTGAAACGGTGCCGGTGCTCAAACGGTGCTCAAACCGGTGCTTAAAGAATGGAGAACACAAAATTGGTCCA